AGGAAAAATTTAAAATAGAAAGACAGGAGAGAAAGGAGAACATTGTAAAGGGTCAGGAGTGGATGATAAAAGTGATGGAGGAGCAAACAGAGATGTTGAACTCCCTAATCACGCTCCAGGTAGAACACATGCATACTCGCTTCCCCCTGCAGCTGATACAGAACTGCTTTCCATGTCCTCCCCAAACTCCTCCCACACATTCCTTGCAACTTTCCAGAACGTCTCGGTAGCCCATTCACTCCACCCCTTCAGACAGCATCCAAAATGATAATTGGACTTACACACAGCTATGAGAGCCTACAGTGCCCAGCCCTCTTATCTCTCTTCCCACCAAATCTTTTGTGTGCATTGTTAACTGATATTAAATAAAAACAAACTCTCTGAAAGATAACCAATCTTTATTTGTCTCCTACAGGTAGTGGTTGCTGCTGGGAGTAATACATAGCAATTTGATCATTTGCTGACTACAAATTCTGGTCAGGAATCATCAGAATTTTCATGCAAGGCAGCAAGCTAACAAAAGCATGGCAGAGTACTGTACTGAAAGACACATTACTGGTGCTCATTGTCAAAATGTCCCTTCAAAGCCTCTCTGATTCAGATAGCCCCCTATTGTGCCCCTCTAATAGCCATGGTATCTGGCTGCTCCAATTCAGCAGCCAGGTGATCCACCTCCACATTCCACCCTGGGGAAAATTTTTCACTCTTAGCCTCACAAATACTATGGAGCACTCAGCAGGCTGCTATGACCATGGGAATATTTTCCTTATTTAGGTCTAACCTGCCATAAAGGCAGCACTAGCATGCTTTTAATATGCCAAAGGTGCATTCTACAGTCATTCTGCACCTGTTCAGCCTATTGTTGAAGCATTTCTTGCTGTTGTCCAGGTTTCCCATATAAGGCTTCATGAGCCATGGGAGTAAGGGGTGTGCTGGGTCTCCCAGGATCACTGTGGGCATTTCAACATCCCCCCACTGGAATCTTCTGGTCTGGAAAGAAAGTTCCTGCTTGGAGCTTTCTATACATGCTAGTGTTCCTGAAGATGGATGTGTCATGCACCTTCCTGGACCACCCCGTGTTGATGTCAGTGAAACACCCACGGTTATCCTGCAGTGCCATAGAGAAGTATCCCTTTGTATTGATGTACTCCATCGCAAGATGGTCCGGGAGCCAAAATTGGAATACGTCAGCCATCTATTGCCCCAAAGCCATCCACTGTTTTCCACACATAGCCAAGAGTCACAGTCCTTCGTAGTCCATGTGATTAATGACCCTGCACACTTGCGTTAACACAGCCCCAACAGTTGACTTCCTGACACAACTGATTTATGACTGATCGGTAGTAGTCTAGAGTCGCCAGCTTCCACACAGCGATCGCCACATGCTTCTCCACCGAGAAGGCAGACCTCATTTTGGTGTCTTTGCACTGCAGTGCTGGGGCTAGTTCTGCACACAGTTCCAAGAAGGTGGCTTTCCACATCAGAAAGTTCTGCAGCCACTGCTTGTCATCCCAGACCTGCATAATGATGTCACCACTTGGTGCTTGTTTCCCCAGCCCAAAACTAATGTTCCACTGTGTTCAGCTGCTCCCTGAATGCCAGAAGTAATCTGGTGTTGTTTCTTTCCATTGCACACAGCAACTCTGATTCCTGTTCAGAGATTGGGTGCTCATGATTTACTGCATGACCATCTGTGACATGTTCATAAAAGTGACCACAACAGTAGAGAACAGTGCAGGGTCCATCCTTTCAGACAGCGATGGCTAGAACACAGTAAGCAGGGGCCGTGGAAAAATGCCATGAAACACAGTCGAAAGCCCCTGGAATGCTGGGACAGAAAAAAACTGCATCATAGGACGTTGAGCTTGCATGCATGATGCACTGTGATCCACTCCACCTTCCCACAGCTTCTAGCTGCAGAAGGTGGCAAGTAGCACGGTGGGATAGCTACCCACAGTGCACTGCTCTCACTGTTGATGCAAGAGCACCAACTGTGGACACATACAAGTGATGTAATTAAACCGGTTTCTGATCGTCTGGGTAACTTGCCTCGACAAAACTGTGTAGTGTAGACATGGCCTCAGAAACATAGTTTGAGCAGTGCTTGCTGTTTTGCAATAGTCCCTGTTGCTCATTCTATCTTTATTGTTATCTACAATACTGAAAGACCAGATACGCTGAAGGTCAGACATCCACATAATATAAACTCATCCTGGTCTGAAGACAGGAAGAGAAACCAGTTAAAATTTTGGCTTTCTTTGTGATAGGAGCAACAATGAGAAAAAGATAAGAGATAAAAATCCCTGCTCCTTTGGAAGGAAAAACTTCTTTAACATTTTCCTTGTAAGACAGTGTTCTGAGATTAGGGGTGTTCTTGTTTGGAGAGGGAAGCTTGTCTATTTGGGTTATTCCTTACTTAAAAGACTGGCAATGGAACAGCCAGAGAAGGTCAATAAACTTTTAAGGAACTTTGTGGCTGCCAACCATTATCCAATCTGGATTCAGACAATGCATGTGGAGAACTTTATTGTTAGTTGTTGTTATTTTGGTTCATTGGTTGGCTTTTTGTTTTGTTTTTGTGGGGACAGGGGAAATTAAGTGCACTGTTTTAGTGCTCATGAAAAGTATTGGATTGACAACACTGGAAACTGAAGTATTCCACCCATGGATAATATGGAGCACAAACAGTAGTGCAGGCTTCCCTACCTACGTGGGCAGTGTAGACAAGCTTTATCACCAAGGGAGAGCTCTCCTGGTGATTAAAAAAAAGAATCACCCCGAAAGAGCGGTAGTAGCCACACTCCCAGCGATGAAGCGCTGTCTCTACTGGCACTTTTCAGCGCTAAAACTTTTGTTGCTCAGGGGGACGTTTTTTCACACTTCTGAACGACTAAAGTTTTAGCACTGAAAGTGGCAGTGTAGACACAGCCTAACACTCTGACCAGTCTATTTCTGGTGTTGTTTGGGAAGCATTCAGTTAGCTTCAGTGGAGTTAAATCAATTTTAGTTGAAAAAAGCTTCCCCTCCTCACCTTCCATCTGCAGAGCTATCCTCCAAAGACAAATGTTTTGAATACTCCATCAAGGGCGCGGTTTGATGAGTCTACTCCAAATCTGAATGCTCCCACAGATAAGATTTCAAATGTTAATAAAGTTTGCTGAGGAGTATCTAGATCTTCTTTGTAAGACATTAACTATATCAGACACTCTGTACATACAATCCAAAAATCTTAAAAGATTTACATGTGCCTCTGTTGTAAACAGATCTAAATTAGTCTTTGTAATCTCTAATTTATTATACTTTTCATTTTGAAAAGAGTCTAAGGGCTAGTCTACACTTACAGTGCTTCATCGATGCAGCTGCACCACTATAGAGTTTAATGAAGATGCTACCTATACTGACGGGAGAGCTGCTCCCATCTGCATAGATCTCCACCTCCCCTCCCATCAACATAGCACTGTCTACACAAGGGATTATGTCGGTATAACTATGTTGTTCAGGGGTGTGGATTTTCGACAACTTGGAGCTACATAGCTATACCAACATAAGTTTTTAGTGTACACCGGGACTTAAATTGTGAACTTGAAAGTCAGTCTTATCTGATTCAGTTAACCTTATGTAGTTACACCAGTGATGAATTTGGGCTATTCTGTTTAGTAAAAACTTTTTAAAGTCTGCATTTTGAAAGGCACATGGAATCCAGTTTATTCCTGGTATATTCTCTCAATGCAAGGTGTGTTTTCCCTCCTAATTTTGCTAAAGAGATTGGTTTAATGTACCAGCAACTTGTAAATTACACTGTTTTTCTATTCATAACAGTTCTCATACTGTAAGCACAGATGGCTAACTTTCCACTGACTGCAGCCAAAAAACAAAATGGCTGATGCCATGTGGGAAAAAAGAGGTACTCTTTGTTCAAAAGGCACAAAAACATCTGTCAGGAAAAGTGGGCAACGGCCAGCTGATCTGTATTTATTACTATTTCTTTGTTTTTTTATTTATGAAAGTCCTCATGATTCAGATTAACTCTGTTTGCACCATATTTATTACTGTTTCACCTACCTTGAAATGTGAACTGTAAGAGCTTTAATAAACGCACTAAAAGGCTATCTAGTTTCATTGCAACTCTTGTTGGTATCTGGTATCATCCTCTGTTGAACTAATTTTGTTACTTCTAAGAGCCACGCTTGTCATTGGTTCTCATCATATAACACTCCCTCTCTCTATGGTACTTTATGGCCCCCGTTACCTTAGTATCAGTGTGCCTCACAATCTTTAATGTGTTTTATCATTACAATGCTCCTGTGATGTAGGGAAAAGCTATTATTTCCTCTTTTACGGATGAGGCTGAGAGAGAGTAAGGCTTGAAATCAATGGGAGTTAGGAACTAAACACATGTGAGGATCTGGGCCTAAGTCATTTCTCCAAGGTCACACTGGAAGTCTGTAGTAAGGCAGGGAATTGAACCTGGGTCTCCTGCATCACAGGCTAGCCCCCTAACTCATGGGAAAGCATTATCTCCTCTAATGATGTACAGAAGTTCTTTTTCCACCAGTTGTGGAAAAACACCACTGTTACAAAACTGTCAAGACCACTGACTCATTATACAAAAATTCAGTTAGGTTCGTCAATAAAATAAACATCTAAATAATGAAAATATTTCAGCCAGGTTATTTACATGCTGTAGACTTAGTCACGTACAAGGGAATGTATTGAATTTTAAAAATCTATATACTTTACTATATAACATTAGATAAGTATTGGAACATATCAGGGTTTACCCTAAACTGAACTTTTGGTTTTGAATCTTAAACAATGACAACTAATTATTAAATAATTACTTATGTCAAATCTCATCAGAGGGAGTAGTTGCTATTTATCTATGTGTGAACAATAACTGTACACTGAATGCAGATGGAGAACATATGTACTGTGCCCTCTGTTGTCTTAAAGTAGAATTCAGACACTAACGTAACAGGTCTAATCGTTTTCTTTCATAGTAATGAATCACCAACACCAGCAACAAATGACACCAAGTACAGCCATGTCCCAGCAGAGCCATCCTACCCAGAACCCCCAGGGTGGGTTGTTGAACATGCCCAATGCACTGACTACCCAGCAACAGCAGCAACAGAAGCTGAGGCTTCAAAGGATCCAAATGGAAAGGGAGAGAATTAGGATGCGCCAGGAGGAGCTCCTGCGACAGGTACTGTTACTCTTTCTGCAAACATTTTTCATTTGATGCATCAAATTAGGTTTTTTTCTCTGCACAAACAGCAAACAAGTACAGGCAGAATTAATTTTTCTTTTCGATAAAGAGAACAAAAAAAGAAAATAGTCTTAGCGAGTACACGATGTTTGTGTTTCTTTTCACAAACTGCACTGAACAGAACGCAAAGTGGCTACTTATTTCTGCATCTAGCAGCCCTTAGAAATGTAAAGGTGCAGTATACAGAAAAAGAAGTCCTGACAGTTTCATAACTAAATACACAATAGCTATAACGGCAGAGAGTAGGGATCAAATTCTGCTCTTTTGCAACTGTGTAAATCCAAAGTAACTCTGTTGATCTCAGCTGAATTTTCACTGATTTGAGTAAAAGCAGAATTTGGCTCTAGTTTAATACTGTGGGCCAAATCTTGGTCCCATTAAAGACAATGGCAAAACTCCCAGAACTTGTTCCCAACAGTCTGTCTTAGAGGTTTGGGGCCAAATTTTGTTACTGGTGGCATTTTGTCCTTTGATTACAGTACAACTTTGAGTTACATCTCACATGAATGTGGTCTGGCTGGTAATTTTTCCAGGGGCAGTGAGGTTTTTTGTTTTTTGTTTTTTTTTTTTGTTCTTTTACATTTTGTGTATTCTTATTTTTAAGGCTCAGTTTTATAATGACTCATACAGTACAAATAGATATGTAGCTTCCTTTGCGCTGCTTTAAGGAAATAAACAGTTTTAACAATTGCAAAGGATGTGTTCCTTCTGTTAGGGAGTACTCTGCTGATGATGTTATGTTTTACACAGTATATTAATCAACTTCCTTAGGGAACACAGTGTGAATTGAGTACGTTTTATTGAGGATATTATGGTCATATAATGGCCTTGTATATGGGCAGTCAGAGTTCCAAACATGTCAAAAAAAGATGCACTTTCACCAAAGAAAAATCTTAGAAATCTGTTGCTTTAATTATTATTTCATGACTACAGTCTTCTTGACTGGGGCTTTGTGCCTAAACACATGTGGTTATTTCAGGGTAACATTTGTTTATACTGTATTCTAAATACAGTATCACATTTCTTGGCAGCAAATAGAAGTATGTTTTCTCTTACGGTATTGACACCAATTGGCATAATATTTCTAGTGTTTTATTAGTATACTGTAAATTGTACCAGTGTTTGTTTGCTTGTGATAGTCACTATCACAATATAATTTTGAAAGTCCTTATTTTGATATTAGATATTTCTTTTATAGTGATTGGTGCAAGTAGCAAAGAGGATCTCAAATCAAAATTCCTTATGTAAACGCCCCTAGTCTGTGGCAGAATCTGGCCTCTGACTGTCTTGCCACAACTAAGTGAACAACATTGATCTCTACATTTTTTTTTTTACCTAGGGAGGTGAATTAATGAGGGAAGATGTGTTAGTGCTGACAATAGACTGGAATGTTTAGAACATATTGTGGGGAGCAAGGAGCAAAAGAGTCATCATGTCTTTGAAGCTTTTAAGAGGGAAACAGAGATCTGGATTATCAAAGCAGATGTTACCAGAAAGGGATGTTCGCCTGCCCATGTAGGACCTAACTTATTTTTGGACAGATGGAAAGTTTCCTCAAAGCCACAAATTAACAGCAAGCTGGTTCGTTTCTCCTTGCCAATATGTGGCAAAAATGTAATGAATAGTGATTACCTCTTTTTCCTCTGTTAGCCTCAAAGTGGCTAGGAGCATTACTGATAAAAGGAATAAGAAGTTCAAGGTCCTTCCAGAATATTTTACCATGTATTTCTGCCATCAAAACTTTGGGACATCTCCAGTCTGGAGTTCTTCTTTCTTGGAGTCTTATTTAAGTTATCACTGTAACAATAGTATCTACAGATGAATTGCAAAGAATCAACAATTGTCCTCTATTTGGGGATTTCCCATGCGTAGCTGTTAATGCAGATTTTGGCTCAAAGTTACAGGTTCTGCTATCAAATACTGGTGTTCTGTACCAGCACAGGAAGGATTGCTGACATAGTGAGAAAGGACACCTATTTTAACTATATGATGTAAAGAGTAGAACTGGACAAATATAGCATAAGAGAATTTGCAAATACCCTTTCTAATAAAACATGCTAATTTGCTTCACTAGTGTTTACAACTCCTTTCATCTTTTTTTCTGCAAATTTGTATGAACATATTTAAACATTTTTTTTAAGGTTGCATCAAAACACTTTGAAACTTTGCATAACACCGTCTAGCTACATTTGTAAAAAACAAGAATAAAAATCAAAGATCAAAATGCAATCCTGTTATAGGCCTGGATCCAGCAAAGCCCTTAAACACATGCCAAATTTTAAGCATCTGAATAGTTCCAATGCCTTCAGTAGAACTACTCACATGTTTATAGTTAGGCATATACTTAAGAACCTTGCTGAATTGGGGCCACAAAGCAGAGACAACTCCACTGAAGCCAGTTGAATTTTACCTGCATATGCCAGTACTGAATTTGGCCCTTAAAGTTTAGACCTAATCCTGCAAACATCTTGTACCCAAATTCTACTCTCACACCTCATATAAGTCCCTTTGATGCTGCAAGTGCATGTGTGGCAAGCAGCAGGGAGCCGTCATATGCTTCTTCACATGTGAATACAAGTATGATGAAGCACTAGGTGTATCCTCCACACTGAGCAGTCTGCTCCACCCCCATCCGCAATTCCACTCCACTCCCAACCCAACCCCAGCCCCAGACAGAGCTGTACCCTGCCCCCAGCTGCAGCTCCGTTCTGACCCCAGCCCAGCTGGCCCCAGTCAGAGCTCCATTCCACCCACTGGTCCACCTGCAGCCCAGCTCTGCCCTCATTCCCTCTCCACCCCCAGCTCCTCCCCCGTCCGCAGTTCTGCCCCCAGCTTGTGCGTCTCTTCTGAGCCAACTGTGCAGTAATGGAGGGAGGGCGCAGACAGATCCCATTACTGGTAAGGGGAGGCATGACAGGAAAAGTTTGGGCACCACTGCCCTAGAAGATAAAGTGTAAAGAAAAAAAAATGTATCTTTGCAATCTATAGCTTGTAGTCTTAATAGACAGGAACTTTATGAACTTCCTGTCAGCAGTCATAGCAGTACTGAGGCCTAGCAGGATGATGAAGTGTAGCAAACCCCTGAGGGGCTTCATTGTTGACACATTGTTATTCCTATCCTAATCCTTCACTGCTGCTTTTGCTTTTTTTAATGCAACCTGTCTAAGGAAAAAAATGCTGAGTAAGTGTATGCGCTTGCTGCTAGGCGACCAAAATGAGGTGAAAAGGGTTTGGGTGAAAGGGAGTGGAATTCTTTTGGCAGGTCCCTCAAATCTCCTTTCAGCTTGACAGCAGCTGCTGGCTGGCTGGCTCTTTCCAGTCATTCCTGTCTCTGCAGCTGCCCTGCTGGAGAGACACACCCAGCAGTGAAGAAATACAGAGTTCTAGGAGGTTTCTAGTTAAGAGTGTTTGTTTTTCCCCTCCCCTTCGTTTTAGGAGGTGAAGGCTAGCATTTGAAAAAGTAACAATTCTCTTTCCTTCAGCAATTGAATGGGGAGCTGAGCAGTTGATGTTTAAGAAGGGTTCTTTGTTTCATAAAGCACAATGTGACTCAGTTTTCATTTGAATCTTCCCTTGCCTTGTCATTTCAGAAGCATTTCATTTTCCCAATTTCTTTTCCTCTGATTATTTTTGTCAGTCTTGCAGAGAAAAAATGGCAAGCCAGCCTTTCTAAAATCCCTTGGAGATGGAAGTTATTAGAAGAGCTGTCAGTGGGAAAGGTCTGAAAGGGTCACACAAAGAAAGTGTCCTGTTTCCATTCTCTCTTTATGAGCTGAATGGTTGTGTAAGAGTGTTGAACTTCAGAAACTTTTCACCTTGTCATGAAGTGTAGGGGAAACCAAGCCAAGGTCATGTTTCCCATGGGGTTCATCCCAGATGTCACCTTCATGGGTGCAGAGGGACCAGCAGAATTCTGCAGTTCTAATTCAGAAAAGGGAAGGTATGGGGAGCCTGAACAAGGGAGAAGCAGCATGGGGGAGGATCCAGATGCAGATCCACCAGTATTTTGTCCTTGGGGGGGGAGCTCACTGGCTGCTGGGCTCCTAAAGTCCTGGCGCTGCAGCAACAGTCCAAAGGGAAGGATTCCTTTTCTCCATTCCCTGTGAGTATACCCAGTGCACAGCCTGGTCATTAGCCCTATGTATTGAAAGCACACACAATGTCTAAATGCTCAATTTTCTATCATAAGTGAGAGGACCAGCAGGAGAGGTATTATAATGACTAGCAATATAAAACCAGTCTCTCTTCCCATTCTGAAAGGGCGGTTTGGAAGCTGAGCATGTGCAGTAAGATATTTCTCAGGAAGGGTTGCAGGAAATGTGACAGTGGATCTCTAGAATCCTTTGGGATACAGTTAAAAGGAGGTTTACTTCAGAAGTATGTACAAATACAATGAATAATTCAATATGCTGCACCCCTTTGAAGCCTATAAAGATTTTGGCAGCTTTAGCAAATACCCACCGAAGAAGCAGGCATTTTGACAATGTTGTAATCTCAGGATACTGCATTTATTTTTCTTTTTGTTTCCACTGATTCCCCATCCTCTTCCCTTTTTGACAACATCCACTGCAATGCCAGGCAGATTATTATGGGTATTCACTTCTCTTTGAAGTGAATGCCAAAGGCTGCCTGAATTGGTCAGCAGGAGGAACTCCTCCTTCGGCTTTTTACTGTCTAGAAAGCTAGAGACCGACAGCATGTGTCTCCAAACCTGTCATCCACATGGCACTGGAACAGCACACTGCCAGGCACTTCAGTTATAAGGATGCCTAATACTGTGTTGCAGGGCTAGATAGTAACTAGTCCTGCAGTGCTGTACAAAAGGAGGGAAGTGGCAAATAGTCCTGTGGCACCTTATAGACTAACAGACGTGTTGGAGCATAAGCTTTTGTGAGTGAATACCCACTTCATCGGATGCATGTCCGACGAAGGAAGGA